TTCCCGTTTGTCATTCACTTATTATTGGCTTATAGTACTTGAAACTTGACCCAACATTTCGAAAACAGTTTTTTCTTTGATCTTTCTGCCAACATTTTTTAATACAGATTGCATGGTGCACTTAGGAATCCCTTTTATTTATGTATATATTTAATATTTTGAATAATAATAGATAAGAATATATACATCGAGTGCAGTTTTGAGGGGTTTGAACTTGGATGATCCTGAATGGATTTCCTTTATTGAAAGACTTGCTTTTAATCCACCTATAACACACACCTGATTGGGTCTGGAGTCTCAGGTTTTCTGAGTTGTTCCTAAAGCATTGAAGCACCAGTTGAGAACCTTAAACTATGTTGTATCCAGTATGAGCTAAAAAAAATTCTACTGCAGTATTAAGAATTTATAAAATTAGAGTTTTTACTCCCAATTGGAGAAATTTCTATGAAAAATTTAAATCACAATATTTTCTGTCAGTTATAATATATCAAAGACTGAAACATTATAAACACTCTCACCTCACACTCTATTAGCCAACTTGTGATATAAAAGTGAGATATCATAAAGCAATTATAGTCTGATGTAAAACATGATATCATATTTTACTATTAATCCTATAGTTTGTTACACAAACATAAAAGTATTCGATCAGAAATATTGATAAAAATCAGTTTGTTTGTTCAAAAAGATGAAAGTAAGCAACACCTAGTGAAGTGCCCATGTATTGGCAAACTGACTTCAGACACTTTCCCTGGCAGTTCGCTAATTTTCTACTTGTTACTAAATCACTAGATTTCTATATTTGTCAAGATTTTTATTGTAAAGTAATATTACATTTGTATCATTCTTGCGTTTTTCTCATTTTCTCATTTTTTGTTAAATCTTCGAGTTGTAACATATTGTAGTCACCATTTTTATGTCACCACCAAAAGTGGTGACATATTGTTATGGTCTCCGTTTTTTTGCGACGGCGGTTGGTGGTTGGCGTCCGGCGTCCGGCGGTTGGTGGTTGGCGTCCGGCGTCTGTAACAATTTCTTACAACTTCCTTTAACTTAACAAATACTGTTTAGACTGACTTCAATTTTTTTCTAAATCATCTACTTGTTCTCAGAAGTTCAAATCTGACTTTAGATTTGACATTTGACCTTCAATGACCTTCTCAAGGTCAAAAAGGTCTTTTTCAACTTGCTTCACATTGACTAAATTTTTTTTCAAAATCATCTACATGTTCTCAGAAATTCAAATCTGACTTTAGATTTGACATTTGACCTTCAAATCTGACTTTTTTTGACCTTCTCAAGGTCAAAAAAGGTCAAAAAGGTCTGTTTTCAACTTGCTTCAAATTGACTAAATTTTTTTTTCAAAATCATCTACGTGTTCTCAGAAATTCAAATCTGACTTAAGATTTGACTTAAGATTTGACATTTGACCTTCAATGACCTTCTCAAGGTCAAAAAAGGTCAAAAAGGTCAAAAAGGTCTGTTTTCAACTTGCTTCAAATTGACTAAAAAAAAATTTCAAAATCATCTACGTGTTCTCAGAAATTCAAATCTGACTTTAGATTTGACTTAAGATTTGACACTTGACCTTCAATGACCTTCTCAAAGTCAAAAAAGGTCAAAAAGGTCTTTTTTCAACTTGCTTCAAATTGACTAAATTTTTTTTTCAAAATCATCTACATGTTCTCAGAAATTCAAATCTGACTTTAGATTTGACATTTGACCTTCAATGACCTTCTCAATGTCAAAAAAGGTATTTTTTCATCTTGCTTCAAATTGACTAAATTTTTTTTTCAAAATCATCTACATGTTCTCAGAAATTCAAATATGACTTTGAATTTGACATTTGACCTTCAATGACCTTCTCAAGGTCAAAAAAGGTCAAAAAGGTCTTTTTTCAACTTGCTTCAAATTGACTAATTTTTTTTCAAAATCATCTACATGTTCTCATAAATTCAAATCTGACTTTAGATTTGACATTTGACCTTTAATGACCTTCTCAAGGTCAAAAAAGGACAAAAAGGTCTGTTTTCAACTTGCTTCAAATTGACCCAATTTTTTTTTTCAAAATCATCTACATGTTGTACATCTACATCAAATCTGACTTAAGATTTGACCTTTGACCTTCAATGACCTTCTCAAGGTCAAAAAGGTCTTTTTTCAACTTGCTTCAAATTGACTAATTTTTTTTTCAAAATCATCTACATGTTCTCAGAAGTTCAAATCTGGTATTTTCCAACTTGCTTTAAATTGACCAAATTGTTTTAGGTGGTGACATTTTGTCATGTTAATGCCTTGTCTGTAACTGCCATTGGCACATATACTAGCATTAGTATGTGTAACAATTGTTACACTTTTGTAATCATTTGCAGGTTGTTACATTTCTGTCATGGTTTAGAAATGTGAGAAATGTCATAACTGGGATATATCAAGTAGCAGAGAGTGTGTGCCAAGAGTTATGTCAATCCAATATTGTTTTTAAATGTTTGGACAATTCCGTTTGATGTTCCACATAATACATACATCTAAAGCCTTTAGTTTCAGTTTGTTTGTATACAGTTTTATCTGGTGTATACATTCACAATATTTGTCATCAGTAAGTTGCATATGCTCAGCTACATGTGCTTGGGGTTCACTTGGTATTTCAAATTAGAAATTACATGAAAGAAAGACTAAGTGGTTGTGAGCCATCACAATATTTGTAAGGCATCTTTGTGGGACAATGAAATATTTGTGAGGCAATGAAATATTTGTGAGCCAATACAATATTTGTGAGGCAATACAATATTTGTGAGGCAATATAATATATGTGAGCCAATGCAATATTTGTGAGACAATGAAATATTTGGGAGGCAATGCAATATTTGTGAGGCAATACAATATTTGTGAGGCAATACAATATTTGTGAGGCAAAATAATATTTGTGAGGCAATGAAATATTTTTGAGGCAAGACAATATTTGTGAGGCAATGCAATATTTGTGAGACATTGCTCAACAATATAAATGTAAGGTTTACTATAGTAAATGAACTGGTTCACTCATATACTGATCAAGGGCAACAAAATATTTAAAATTTGATTTGAAATACAAGATAATCTTATGTTTTCTTATGATCTTATTTTTTTGCGTAACAATTGGCATTTTGGGCTTCTAAATCAGTGTGTGTCACACTCCCATAGTTTCACGTTACAGTTAAATATGCTATACAATACAATATATATAATTTACTGAATTCAGTATAAAGTCTTTAGTGATATTAAATCCTTGAGAATTATACTTATACGTAATGTTTAATAAGCAGCTCATAATATTACTTGTGCATGTTGAAACATTGGGTAACCCTTTACTGGTTAACTTAATGTTATTTAGTACAGCTTCATATTACCATATTACCCTGAGGTTAGTAATCAAATTTTACTCACACTCTTTAAATTACATGAACTGGTACTGAACTGAACGCATCAAAGGCAGTCTTTGTGTTTGATCTGCTATGTTTTTTTTATATGTTAAAAAGGAGTGAATATTTAAGTTTTGCTCTGCATTGCTCTCTGATTGGTTTAACTTAGTGTAGAATCTTATCATTGTCAGAGGGTCATATCCTTGCTATTTAGTGCAGGGTACTTTAAAATTATTTGAATTATACATATATTTAAATCTGCAAATTATAATTACCAGACCGCCATCTATTCCTGGTTTACCAGACCCTCCCCTCCCCTCTTATCTGTCATTAGTGAGGGATACCCCCAGGGGGGATACTTCATGACAAGGGGAAGACATGCTTGTTGGGATGCATCTATTGAGTTTTCCTTGAAGTCTCCCAATAAGTGGAATTGGTTGAAGTCTAGTTTTATTTCACATTCAATTCCCATAAGAGGCTGAGCTCTATGAAATTCAGAGTGATTCTGCGTGCAATTTCTTCTCTTTCTCCTATTTGTTTTAACAGTTACACAATTTTTATGGCTTGCTACAAGACTCTGGATATACAAGCAGCTGTATCATTTATGTATTATTTCAAGTGGATTTGAAGTATGTAAAGCTGCTATACCCCCCTGTAAGTGAGATAACTGATAGCAATTGCTTTGATCTTCTGTATTAAGCCGTTGTTTCATTCAACAATATGTAATTACCTTCCTATCAATTTCAATGTCATTGTGACCTTACAAAGCTTTTGAAGTTTAATCTGAGAAAATGTTTGAATTTTGGTTTGTAAATATGTCAAGCGTCACATGATCCTTGGTTAGATCTTTCCTGGTAGTCTTTCTGAAGTCTTGTTGGGTTTTGTCACAGTTTCCGTGACGAAGCATGGTCACCGTGGTAACTTAATGTAAGAGTGTAAACAATCATAAACTTATGAATAAAAGATAAGAAGGCTTTACATATGTAATACCTTGCATTTAATTAATATATTTGCTTATATATAATTCCCAGAAACAATGGACTGCAAGGAATGTAAAGATTCTAGATCTCTGATAATATTTTATAATCAAATTATTTCAAGATTTAATGGCGCTGAAGTAAGCCATAGATGCATATAGTGTTTTATTTCTTTATTGTTTTAGTAAGAGGTATTCCGTGAGAATTGTAAGGGCATTGTTATTCAATCAAAGTGAACAAGAGAACAAACATAGATTTGATATGTTATTATCTATTTCTGCCCACATGGATCCTATAAATACAATACTCAAATTAAATTAATAAAACATGTGTCTGAACATATTTCCTAATATTTGTACTTTTTCTTGCATTTTCTCAAGGTTTCATTTTTTCAGGATTTTAACAGGGAAGGTGGGAGATTGGAGTAGCTTAATAAACAATTGTTTAGATTTTGTCATTAGTCAATTTGACGTTCTATATATTTCAAAACATTTCCTAAATGTTCATTTAGGACTTGATAGGAATAAATTGCAGTATTTTTAAGAACTTCCTTTATGACTATTCATGTACAAAGAACATTAAAAAAAATTATAATTTATTTCCTATGTTTTATTTTTACTTCCAGTTGCTAAGAGTGTTGCCATGTGGCCATGAATTCCACAAGAAATGTGTCGACCCTTGGCTGGTCGCTAACAGAACCTGTCCTTTATGCCTGCTCAATATCATAGGTAATGTGTCTTTGAATAGGTAATGTGTCTTTGAATAGGTATTGTGTCTTTGGATGGTATTTTGTTAATTCAGTATAATGTGTGTCAATGATTATTATTTTAAGTTGATATTTAAGTTAAATGTAATGTTATCAGAATAAATTAACATGATTAACCTGACATAAAGTCAAACAGGAACATTTTAGAAAAAACATGACATTATAATGTGAAATAGTTTCAAATCCCATATGAAAACAGATGTTATTCAGCTTTGTTTCATGAAAACATTTCTTACTGTTGACTGTTGTGTATTGCAGAGAACACGGAGAATGAACTGCTGTCGCGACGCAACAATCTCCAGAATGCATTAGCAGCTTCCCAGCATGCCTCAGCAGCCTCCCAGAATGCATCAGCATATAGAGGGCAGAGCAGTAGAGAAAGCAGTATTGTTTCTATTCCAGGGCGTACCTGCACTGACCATCGTCAACAGCGTGCTAGTAATAATTACACAGATTATCGACTCTTACCTCGCCCTAGTAACACTGTAAATATGTATCACTCAGGTATCCATGGCAATGGGAGTATACAGTCTAATATTCCCAAGGAGCATGCATTAGTCGTTAACCTGCCCCCATCTCCACATCATACAAACTCTCAGCGACAGTTTTTTCCTGAATCTTATCAGTTGCCACGCAGCAACCATTTGTCACTTAGTCAACAGTCATCTCATAACAACCAGTCATCTCATACTAAACAGTCAACACATAGCAACTGGTCACAAAGTAATAACCATAAACAATTTTCAGACCAACATCTTGCCAAAAAGTATCGCCCAAATAGACGCCCATGTCCCTGCCCCCCGGGATCAGAGCCCAACCCCCCTCAGGCTGACACAGAGTCAACTAGCACCCCTCAGGCTAAGTCAAGTGACACTCAAGGGGAACGAGACTGTTACAGTGAACTATGTGACACGCAATTGTCACAGCAGAATTGTGTCTTAGACACACAAGTTTTGTCTAATGCCGCAACCAATGAAATGCTTGTCAGGTGTTCTAGTCCGGATAGGGTGAGTTTGGGGTCAGAATGTGAGGATTGTAGGAGACATAGTGCATCAACAATGGGAGATAGCAACCAGAGTACATATGGTAGTTGGGAGTTTCCCATTAGTGACATTTCAAGCTATCACTCCAGTGTATATCGTAGCCAAAGTTGTAATCTTCACGAAATCAGCGAAGGGGCTGGAGTTTCGCCTCAGGGGTCACCTACTTCCACCCCAAAGTCATTGACCCCCACGTGTGTTAAAAAACAATTGACTGACAGTAAAACTGGTGCTTTTATATCCATTGCTCAAAGTGGCCTATTTAGGCATGGAGGGAGGGGGGTCGCTCACTCTGATTCTTCTATAGACTCTGTGAACACTGTTGATATGTCCCCTATAGTAAGTGGCTCTGACTCGGAGCCTCATCACTGTTGTCATAGTAACAACAACACAACAAACAATTACTCCCATGTATTACCTGGGTATGTGGCTTATCATAGAGAGACCTATGTCAACAAACAAATACATCACAATTATGTGTACCAGGATAGGTGCACCACAAGGACCAGGGTGGCCCACCTACCACCCCTGCTTCCACCAAAGAGATCTGACTCAACAATCCGTGGGGCCAAGGAAAAGGCAACCACGTTCACACAGACTTGTGACGCGTGTGGTTCACATGATCTAAGTGACCCGTCAACACATTGCCCTCAACATACTGAAGTACATAAACACTCTGATATTACACGGCAGTATAATGTTCCCCAGTCACCCAATCAGCATTATAGCAAAAACAGTAAAAAGCATAAAAGTGTGCCCCGGAAGGATAATTATTGTCCCGAGCGAGCACATTGTGACCTTGACCTTGTAAGTGAACAACTTCGTAACGCAATCGAACAAAAGCAGCTGTCAGACCTCGGAAGTCATCCAAGTAAGAACACACTGAAAAGTAATTCCTGGTGTAGGAAGACGCTACATGGTGATGAGGCTGAAGTGGACGTACATGCAGTATATGATAAGAAAAAGGTCCCAGATGTGCGTCAGTCTATGGTGGTCTATACTGAACCAGAGGGTGAGTTGAATCATGTTTCATTGTGTGCTCCTCTTATTCTTTCAAACATAGACAGAACATAGTCAGTGAATCAAAATGTTGTGAAATCCTATCAAAGGATGATTCTCGGTTTGGAGAACAGTCTCCTGGGCTAATAATTGTTTTCATGAAAAATATAGAAATATCACCCAAATTAAATAATGAATATTCAAAAGAGGACATTTAAATCTACAAGATGTAAAAATATCAAAATTGTCCAAAGCAGGGATAACGGTGCAGGAGACCGATTCAATAGAATACAAGTCTCGATTTGGAGAAAAAAAGTTCATCAGTGTACTGCGCTAATATTTTTATGAAAAATCTAGAAATATCACCCAAATTAAATTATGACTATTCAAACTGAGAATAGACCTCTGTTCAGAGAAAAAATGTATTGTGTATTTTGGATTCTATATTTTTTTCCTCTCTTAGGCCTAGCAAAGAGCTTTTTCAAAAGTATTGATCAACATAGAATATTTTTAAATAAAAGTTACATTTTATTGTTTCAGGTGTCGTAACGTACCCACTAGATCACAAGGAGAATTATGGTCCCATCAATGCAGTATAACGCTAACACCCCCATCCCCAAACGGACAAACCTGGCCTACAGAGGTCCCCGATCATGGTCATACTTCATTCTAAAGGCTGGGAACATGAACAAATGTGACACTTTATGGTTCAGAGCATGAACAAACCAGAGTCTCATCATCATTATCATGGAGGATTTCAATAAATACTAATAAATGAGAAATGTGCATTTCAATCAGTGCAGTTGAGCATCTTTCTGCAGATCTAGATTTCTCTGGGAAAGTGGAACCAACTGAATCGTGGCTGATAACACATATATTGTCATATCAAAGTGATTATTTAATGAAACAAGAAGAATTAACTTTTATGAAACAACTAGAAATGGACCTGAAAGGGACTGAGGGAGGCACTATTAGTATTACATGGCTTAAAGCAACAAATTTCAAATTTCCCGAAAATTGAATGGCGAAAGAAGACTTTAAGCCATGTCACTTACACAGAGTCTTGATACCACACTTCGAAATGCAATAAACCAGGTCTTTTGCTGATAAATTGTAAGAAATCTCACGATTGCTGCTGAGGTTCTGGAGAGTGTAAAAACCATGACAAGAAAAAGCAAGGGTTAACGTGTAGTATATATTTATAAAATTGTATAGCATAGTATTTATAATACAGTTAAGTATCATTGTACATGTATATTATTATATGATAAAAGTATACATTTTTGATATTATATAGTTTATTAAGACCGCAGTGAGAATCAACAATACAAAGTTAATTTTTAGTGATTTTGGGTCAGTTTTGTGTCGCAGTGGTTATATTTAGAATGGAAAATAGAGGGAAAAAGAGTGGAATCAGCAAGATATAAAGTAAACAGGCATGTACTTAACACTCTGAATTGTATAGAAATACAATAATATGAATCATTTCTTTGAATCTTAAACTTTCTGGAATAGTATGACCAAAATTAATGTCATGCACATTACAAATTGTGACACACATACATGTGTCCTCTACCTCGTATATTAGGGGCCAAGTCAAAGTTTCTACAAAACTAGATTACCAAAGATTGACACCCTCTCTCCTCTATGAAATTACATCATTGATACCCCAATTTCAATGCCTTTCTATTGTGATACCTGACATACCCCCTTTAAAATTAAAAAGATTTTTAGACAAAGTGATCCTTAAAAAGCAAACGGAACCTTCCTAAGAAGATTTTACATTTTTCAAGTCAGAATGTAGATACCATTTTTGACATGCATTTTAAACTGAAGAAAACTAATATATTAAAGGGTCTTCTGTTATCCTGGGACTAATTCTCCATGCTGAAGATTATGTTATTAAGGAGCCTTTAGTAGCTAGTTTACATTGTATTGTTGACTTGAGCTGGTGGCATATACTTTTATATAGAGCACCATGTACAGCATATCATTTGGTCGTGTCTTTGACAAACTACAAGATCAGTAAGGAACCCCTGTGTCAAATTTGAGTTCATTGATGATGTTTCATTTTATGCATTTCAAACTTGTTTTAGCAATGAAATGTGCTCAATGGAAAATACTTGAGCTTATAACCTGGATTTGAAGACCTAGATTTCTTCATGCAAATACTTATTTGGTTCTCAAAATTTGCAGGTTCTGTTTGAAAAAAGCCTGATTTATATGATGTTTTGTACATGGATGTCATTTAGAAGTAAAGAGTTGTACGAACTTTATTAAAGAAGTTTCCTCCGTGATTAAAGTTTTTCACCTCAAGTATTGGTATTCTAGTGAAAAATATTTGTCAGGGAGAAAGAACACCAAATATAGAGAACTGGTTTTACAGTTTCTCCTTTTATAAACTACAGTAAAACCTGTAAAGTCTAACACCTCCAAAAGTGGAACACTTAAATCTACTATTACTAATTAACCAAGCATAAAATGAATATCTGTAAGTGGAAGCCCTTACTAGTGGAACATTACTTACAAGTGGAACATTACTTTAACGTATCAAAGGAGTTCCACTAACACAGGTTAAACCAAATGTGTGGGGACTCCTGTCCTGTTTAATAGACAACCATATTACTGAAACCAAATGTGAATACCTCTAATGGAAACACTTCATCAGTTTATATTAGACAGGTTTTACTGTATATAAGCCTATGAGCCCAGGAGTGAATCTAGGCGAGTTCTATAAAAAATAGAAAATATTCACTGTTTTCAATGAAATGGAGGAAATGAAAACTAATATTAGAATATGTATTCATAAATTTGACTCGTCTTATGCATGATCCTGGCTACGACTCTCAACCTCAACTGGTCAGTACATTATCATATTATTAATATATACAGTATAGAAAATATAAATCAGAGCCTTAAGTTCAAATGAAAATCTATTGATCTTTTTTTATTTGTACTACTTTTTATTAATCATGTTAGTAGACATTTCCAATAAACCCTTTCACCTTTTGGTACATCCAAGAAGCTCTAAATATTGACTAGATTGATAATGTCATTGGCTGGGTTGTGGTTATAAGGTATCAAACATATCAATGACATTCATTGTGCACAGTAAAGTATGAGACAAACTTTGATTTTAGTGTGATATTCGTTGCATCTATGTTTCTTGCCCACCTCATTCTCTAGTGTCTACTAAATTATGGAATATGGGCATTAACAAAAGGAGTTTGAAGAATGAGAAAATATTGTTTCAATATTTTAAATTGTAAGTTTTTTATTGTTGAGTTAAAGTTGAAATAATTATAAGTATGATGTACTATTCATATATAAGTTTACATTTAAGATGATCTCCAGTTGTCAACAGTTGTAATGAAAGAAGTTAATGTCCATTAAGGGGGGGGGGAAATAATTGTTAAGTTAATTTTGTTTGACCTTAGAAGCATATGGGGGGGGGGGGGTTATATGAAGAATGTTGATTTTTGAAAACTTAAATTGAGAGGCCGATTAACTTGATGTTGATTAAAAGGATAATATAACATAATGAACTAATTGTCTTATCTTTTCTGCAACTGCCAACATTTGGACATCATCAATTTATGTAAATTGACCTGTTACAAACTTTGGGTTGTACAGTTCTATTATTATTTTATTTGGAGTTTGACACAAACTCAGTTTATAGCATTCGTATTAAGTGGAAATAATACAGAAGTGATGACAAAATAAACAACAGTTATATCTAAAGTTTGGATTTATCGTTTTATTTATCACACAGGTGCGGGATACAGTGGATTTTGGATTATGCTAGCTATCCAGAACAAGTGCTGGGGTGGGGTAGGGAGAATACAATTATGTTGGGAACTGGTACCATATTCCGATGGCATTGATGCTGAAACAATTATAGATTTACTTTTTATACCTGATCTTAATATCTCCCCTACCCTATGTACTGATATACATTGACCTCATTTTCACTGAAAGGGCAAACTTTTATTATAATGTTTAACGCATAATCATAATGTACTTTGAGACACATTTTAGTTTTTAAAAAATGAATGCTCCAGGGAGGATACTAAATGTGGATGACCAAATGCGCCGAAATCAATGGATAGCATGAGTTTTCTCTTTGGGCAAATAACACCAGGAACACTATTCTGAAATAAATTCAGTTTTTCATAATTCATTTCAAGAACTAATTAGTAAATTAAAATAATAAAGAATAGTAATGCATTAAACATTACCTTTTTGTAAAAATGAGGTCAAGGTCACTGAAAAATAAGTTAATAAGTTGTTGTCTGGGATAAACTATGTGGCCCTTTGTTCAAGGTTAAAGCATCACTACTATTTCTGGAAGCGAATGTCCTAGTTGTATTGTTTTGTTACATGTTACAAGCAAAATTGTCCATACTGCATTATGATACTCGATAGGATGTCTATTGTGTATGCATGTTTGTCAAGCCATTGGGTTGCGAGTTGACGCTATATAAGCCATGTATTTGAAGGTCTCGACAGACTTTCGAATTCTGTTGTTCCTTCACTGATTGGATCACTTTCTTGTCTTGCTTCCTGGTTTCTTCTGAAAGAGAAATTTAATTTAATTTTTTTTTTATATACATAAAGGACAGTATTCTCGGTTTTGGAGAACGAAGTTCATCACGATACCCCTGCTTCGGACTTTGATTTTTTTTACATCATATAGATTTTAATGTCTTCTTTTGAACAGTCATAATTGAATTGGGTGATATTTCTAGATTTTTCATAAAACAAGGCACAGACGTGAACAATATTGTACCTAAAACACAGCATTGTGGTCTTGTTGACCAAGAAAACAAGATGGCCACAGAAAAGTTAATCAGCTCTAGAACTTCTCACTGTGTAACATATGTAAAAATTTGAACGGTTTGGCTGGAAACCTGTAGACAAGCCTCGATAGACAAGATTTTAGGACGGAAAATCTAAAATGACAGCCTTAACATTTACCCAGAATGCCCAAAAACTAATCAGTTCTTGACGTTGATATGTAGAAACATCCCTGAAAATTTCAGATGAATCCCTCAAATGGTTTGGCTGGAAACCTGTAGACAAGTCTTGAAAGTAAAGATTTTAGGACGGAAAATCCAAAATGGCCACCTTAAAATTTACCCAGAATGCCCAAAAACTAATCAGTTCTTGACATTGATATGTAGAAACATCCCTGAAAATGTCAGATGAATCCCTCAAATGGTTTGGCTGAAAACCTGTAGACAAGTCTTGAAAGTGAAGATTTTAGGACGGAAAATCCAAAATGGCCACCTTAAGATTTACCCAGAATGCCCAAAAACTAATCAGTTCTTGACGTTGATATGTAGAAACATCCCTGAAAATTTCAGATGAATCCCTCAAATGGTTTGGCTGGAAACCTGTAGACAAGTCTTGAAAGTGAAGATTTTAGGACGGAAAATCCAAAATGGCCACCTTAAGATTTACCCAGAATGCCCAAAAACTAATCAGTTCTTGACGTTGATATGTAGAAACATCCCTGAAAATTTCAGATGAATCCCTCAAATGGTTTGGCTGGAAACCTGTAAACAAGTCTTGAAAGTGAAGATTTTAGGACAGAAAATCCAAAATGGCCACCTTAAGATTTACCCAGAATGCCCAAAAACTAATCAGTTCTTGACGTTGATATGTAGAAACATCCCTGGAAATTTCAGATGAATCCCTCAAATGGTTTGGCTGGAAACCTGTAGACAAGCTGAAAAGTGAGACGCCGCCCGCCCGCCCGCCCGCCCGCCCGCCGCCCGTCAAGCTGACTACAATATCGTACCTTTTGTTAGGTACGATAAAAATTCTTAAGCAGTACACTGATGAACTTCTTTCTTCCAAACCGAGACTTGTACTTTATTGAATTGGTCTACTGCACGTTACCCCCGCTTCGGACAATTGTGATATTTTTACATCTTGTAGATTTAAATGTCCTCTTTTGAATATTCATAATTTAATTTGGGTGATATTTCTATACTTTTCATAAAAAAATTATTAGCCCAGGAGACTGTTCTCCAAACCAAGACTTGTCATTTATTCCTTTAGTTAACAGTAATATACAAGCATACATATATACAGAGCACCCCTGGTGTCGATTTTAGTCTCTAACTCCACGAGAAAACAAGGGTTTTTCAATGGGATGGTGTCATTTTGTTGGAAAATGATGTATCTTTAAAATGATGTATAATACATGGCATGGTTTAACATATATTGCTTTTTTGTACCACCCTGTATATAATTTAAGTTAATGTTAAATTGCATATTGATCAACAATTTGCATGTTATAAGTCTGTGCTGTCCTCTATTGTGACTTATGAAGACCATTGTTGGAGTCATTTTGCATAACCAATAATCAATGATGTAACTACTGGGAAAGAAGGATCTGGAAAATTTGAAAAATCGTACTGATATATGGGAAAGGTACCTGTGAAAAATGACTACATGTTTCCAAGCCATTTTTACACGATAAATGAAGAGTTAGTTAGGGTTATCTGATTATCCCATTTGATAACCATCCTTGGTATACGCAGCGATCGATAATAGACCAGCCTGGTTCAACAGTGTGACTTGTGTGGATTTAGAGAAAGTAAACCTCTTAACTTTTACGCATTATTCCATCTAATGGTTTATAAAAATTTGGGTTCAAGCTAGCTATGGATAATTTAAATTAAAAAATAACTGTTAAACCACACCAGTCACACTGTTGAACCTGGGTTATCATTGCGTATACCAAGGGTGATAACTAAGGACCAAACTCTATGGTTTACCTTCACTCTGTTGCCAGCTGAGGATTGAGCAGGTCTCAAGACGGAATCTTCTAGAGCATCTCCTATGTCCCTCTGGTGGAACGCTCTGAAACCATTATTGGAGATTTGTTACATAAATATTGCCATGAGATAGAGTATGAGTTGAATGAGATTTTTTACATGTAGGCTACTTAAGACTGACAACCTCTGGTCCTGCTTCTTCCATGAAATTTCAAGATGTTAGAATTTCATTATAAAAATCATGAAAAAAAATTACTTTGAGAGATATTATATTATGAAAATGTAATCACTCCCTCACATAAAGTCTATCAATATACTGTATTTACGTGTGCATCAAGAATTGGTATATAACAAGTATTAATTCATATTTCTACTCGATCTATTTCATATGTGTACTATTTATGGTAACTGTTGAGGGAAATTCTTGGGCATCCTTCACAAAATAAGATGTTGACAAGTATTAAACTGGGGTCCATTTTTAGAATTGTCACAACTTACGATTTAGTAGCAAGTCATTGTTCATCTAAAAGAAGACATTTATTTTCTGAGAATTGTAAGTTACAATTGTATGAAAAACAGACCCCAGCAAAAGACAATATAAAGAGAATGCTAAAATGTTTACATGAAGTATTCTCATTCAACAATTTTAACTTACCTATTTTTCCTAGGTTTGTGGCTGTTGGGGGATGCACCAGCAAAACTGGCTTGATATCCTACAGCTCCTAACTCTGGCGTATCAGACTTTGGCTTCCTGCTTCTCTGTCCATCTGAAATCACAACCCTTTGATGGCTAACCACTGTTCAATTGCAGTAAAAGCTGTGCAAGTGGAACACTTTTGACACGTCTAATGTAGTAAAAGCTGTGCAAGTGGAACACTTTTGACACGTTTAATGTAGTAAAAGCTGTGCAAATGGAACACTTTTGACACTTTTTATGTAGTAAAAGCTGTGCAAGTGGAACACTTTTGACACTTCTAATGTAGTAAAAGCTGTGCAAGTGGAACACTTTTGACACTTCTAATGTAGTAAAAGCTGTGCAAGTGGAATACTTTTGACACTTTTAATGTATTCTACTTAGTTGTTCCAGTCACCCAGGTTTACTATACAATCATAATGAAACAAAAACCTTAAAGAAAATTGCATTCCACAATCTTCACCCGGCCCTTTTGTTATTTCTTATTTATTCAAATGTCAGATGACCAACTGCATAATTAAAACAGTTGTCCAAATTGCAAATTGCATCTTCAAGTGCTAATAACCAAGAAGGCATTTTGGAATTTCTTGATCATACTAGTAAAAGCTTTGCAGACAACAAGGCTGAAAACCTGCATGTTAATGGAATATCTTACCATTATGACTGGGTCGCCTTGTGGCTAAATCATTATAACCATCCAAGGCTAAGTCACCAAATAATCTGTCAAGCTCTGCACTTTCATTCTTCTTACTTCTCACAGACCCCCCAGTAGCACCACTAGCATCTTTTTTAGACCCCATAGCAGCATTACTATCCACTGATTCTACATAGGAATCCATATGGGCTAGTAAATCTGCTGTAGTGTATGTGGGGTCTTCCAAAAGACGATCCAATGTCCGTCGTGTCCTTGCAGCACTACCTGATCGTGACTCATTAGTCTCACTTTGTTTTCCACTGCTAAGGGATCTGTTTTTAGATTTTGGTTTAATTTGATGATTACTTCTAGAGTCCCTGTGAGTAGAATGTGTAGACCCCATCATTTTATAAGTTTTATCTACTATACTGCCATCTATATTTCGTTCAGAGAACTTATTTTTATCTTTAGGTTTCGTTTGACCGTTTGTATGTTCAGTTCTGTGGTAGGACGTACCACCAGATGGCACAACTGAATTGGACGTATCATTAAGGAATGTAAAACTTGGACCTGATTGGTGGCGTTTAGATTTCATTGCAATGGAGTTCACTGCAGCTGTGGCTTGGTGCTGTTGTGACCTTGCTGTTGGCCTCACTGATGACCTTGGCTGTGACCTTGAGGGAAGGTTAGTGATGTCAGGGGTGGCTGCTCTATTTGCTGCGCATACAGCCTGGAAGAAATATTTCATGAATCAATGAACATAATATGGAAGAGAGGAAATTTCCCAGAATTCATAGACAAACCTAATTCCATGTACAGAAAGGTTGTACAAGGAGATGATACATCTAAGAATCCTGTGTTAATTCATCCTCTAATGGAGGACAAATAATTCCAGGGGGTTCACTTTTGACAACTTTGACCCCAAAAAAGCCAAAATCACTTAAAAAGTGCTCAGAATGGTGAAAAACTGCATGATTTTTCAAGAATTTTTGTATTTACAATTACATATTTCAGAGTAAATTAATGCTTTATAGACTAAACAAATAAAATACTCTCTTCATAATAAAAAAAAACAATTCAGAATCACCTGGTGTTGTACAAGGAAGTCTTCTGGTAAGAGCTGATCACAGAATTCACACGGCAACATGATATCACTCTCCGTCGTAAATTCTGGCGGAATATTGGTTGAGGTTGAAGAGAACCTGGAAATATTGAAATCTGAAATCTTTTTCTGTTCTAGTGTTGTTCAGCGAGGTCCATTATGCCTCACATTTAGTTCTATAAAAGGTCTCCCATTTAATATTACAGAGTTCCAATATTATACAGAATAAGAGATAGCAAGCAAATCATAACACAAGGATGTGATAAATACGTGTATGATGGATTGTAACAAGAGAACATCTAAAAAAGATTTTCCTTTTTAATTTTATTATTTAACATAGATATCAGTTCAGACATTCAGAATCTACATATTCATACTTCAGCAGTCTTTTTATTTTATTTTCACTTACTTTTTACTTAACTCTTCACCCTCTATCCAGTTCACATCAAGAAAAAAGTGAGTTATATGTGGATCACAAAAAATTAAAATAAGGCTGATATGAAGCAAATCTGATATAAGGTAATTACCACCTACCATATAAGGTGATTACCACCTACCATTCATGTGCTGTGAGATACGCTAGGTTATCAACCATATTTGGCGGAGGATTGGTCCTTGGCGATGTGTTCCTTCTGGAGGGACTATTGTTGGCATCAGGGTTGGAATGTATGGCATTTGGAGGGGTGGAAGCTCTATCAGGAATGGGGGTTGAGATATTGGAGTCGGGGGATGGGGTATGGAGCTCTGAGGGGCCACAACCAGTCTGAAATATAAAAAATACATTTTAATAAAAGATACAGCACTGATTAAGAATCTCTGTTCTAGTTTAGAGAGTCTAGTAAGGGCTGAAAGGAATAATAAGGCAAAAGTAGTACTTATGAAACAAGAGCAACGACAAAATGCACAGGAGCAACTTTAAAACATCCTTCAGGTTTGACTTGAAATATTGACTTTGATCTGGTGTGATCCATAAATGTTTGTTTATTTATAAAATAATACAAGGCATTAACATACAAAATGACACCACCTGCCATTTATTAAAGACACTGAATGCTGACCACCAAATGCAGAACACAAACCACCAAATGCAAATGCCGTATACCTCTACAAAAAAGTGTGAGACTATATACAGTATGAAATCTAAGATTTAATTTAGTAATAAACAAACCTGGTGTTGTATGAGGGAGTCAAATGGAAAAGGTTTTCCACAGAACTCACAAGGCAGGCATTCTTCATTATTTGACCTTTCATCAAGGTCAGGGTCATCAAGGTCATCTGGAGTGAGATCATGTGCCAAGTGCATGGCCAGCAATCTGTCAAGGTCATTTCCTAATCCACTGGATCCTCCTCCTAAATTAGAAATTTTTTGAATTTGAAACAACTTGAAGTCAAGAGGCTACACTATAACAACAACTACACTACAACTGCTACACTCTGATTACAACAATAAATACAGTTTTATTCTGATTAGATCTTGTATTTCAAGCAGAGAATAAAATTAAGTTACCAGTGTCAGGAATATTACTAGATGTAGTTCTTGGGTTACTAGCTGCTCCTGATCCTTTGTTCAAAACCTTCTTAGTTCTGTTGGTTGAGTTACTGCTAGAATTAATTCCCTGGGCTTGTCTATTACGTGGTAAATCAACCCCAGCTGCATCTCTACTGCGTGGCAACTCGTTTTGGTTTGTACTTCTGTTGTGTGGCAAAGTTTGGTTTGTTCCCCTATTGCGTGGTAAGCTATGACTAGTTATTGCAGAGCTGCGTGGCATGTTACTTCTATTTGGTCTATTCTGTGGAACAGTGTTGCCATTTGTCCGTTTTGATCGATTTGCATTAATCCCAGTATTTGAATTAACATTTGCTCCCCCATATGCTCCATGAGTTTTTGGGTTAACCAAATTGTGCATGTCAGTCAAACGACCAAATTCCTCCATCGCAAATGGACTAAACGTATCATCTAAGGCAATAATATCAGGTTCATGTCGGGAATTCTGGGAGCTGGGCTGGTTTTTAGGTTCAGGGAATGCACAGTTTGAATCCTCGTGTTGATTTAAGTGTTTTACCATAATGTACTGGCTGCAGTTCGCGCAAAACTCTGTCCTTGTTCCGCAGAAGTCTTCGTGTTCTTTCAATTCAGAATGAGGCTGCTCTAGTTCACAAAACGGACATTTAGCCAGTCTTTTAGGACAAACATCCTGAAATATAATGAGTAAGAATAATACATTTAACAGCTGCTTTAATTCTCCAATTTTTTAAAATTAAAATAAGATATTGAAAATATAAAAGCATCACTTCCGGTAAGTGACGAACTACTTCAATATCACATTGGGAATTCATTATAATCATAAATAAAGATGCACTTTTATACAAATAAAAAAAATTGGGCTGCATCAACAAGAGTTCAAGACAGTAAGGGATGCTATCCAAATGTCAACCAATGTGGAATTATGTCAGAGGGAGGGGTTAATTATGATTTCATTGGTGAAGAATATTGATTGATTGAAAAACGTACATGAAAAAATATCCAACAGTTAATAACTTCGTTCAGGAATGGGGAGTTGAGGAAGTTGATAACATTCTTTACCTTATGTTCTTCAAGTTTGGACTTTTCTATAGGCTTCTTACAGAGTTCACAATTAACTTTTGCATGCTCTTCCTCAAAGTGTTCCTCCATTTCTGTTCTGGGCACTGGTTCTTTGCAGTGTTCACACAACACAATGTTCCTACGACAATGTAACTCATGCATGGTGTAGTTCACCATGGCAATATCTCGCTTACTGAAAACATATGAAAAAATATCAAAGTTGGATTCTGGACTGCATTTCTGGTAACAACCTGTCTGATTATAGCACTATGATCCACATGGACAAAACAAAAGATTTCAAAAAGTTCTTCTTTAAAAATATATTAACAGTGAACATTTTCCTCATTCTTTCTCAGGATAAAAAAGTATTTCATTCAGGTTAAGAAATTGGGCTAGCATATTGAAGACTTCTTGAAGACTTGTAAATTGACTTTATATTTGAATTATGTTTAATAAATTTGTCAGAGGCGTGGCATTGTGAACAAAATTTGTTTTTATTTACTTCAAAATGGTAATGTATCTATCAATATCATTCTAAAATAAAAATTGAATTTTTATAGACTTCATCTAAAATCATATCTACCAATTGCTGCAGTATTTCATTTCTTGTTCCGACATTTTGCAGTTCTGCTAGATTCTATGTCTACAGTAACAATGTCTTCCATTAAACAGTTTTTCCTGAAATACAAGGAAATAGTATATGTATGATGAAAAGCTATATACATATGTATACTTTTTGAGGTTTCACACAGGTACCATAGATCTCTGCTACAGAACCAACATAAGTAATTAATTAGGTGACATAGTTCTACATGAGATGGGATGTAATAGATCAATGTAACTTGGGATTTGTATGTTATTTTAATAATGGGAGACAGACTAACAGACCAATCTTGTAGATAAACCTTGAAGTTGCCATTCCAGGTGATTATAGTCCAAGGTTTGATGTTGATACACGTAACCAACACAATATTTGAAAATAAAAGCTTGATGTCTCTTTCTATACAAGCTTAGATCTACTACAACTTTTTCCCAGGCCTATGTGTGTTTAACATATGTGACATCGCTAAGGCTACATTTAAGACAAAGAGGGGGAATAACCCTAGACTGTATCCTTCGTCTGAATAAATTCAGACTGTAAGTCACCTATTGTAAAATGTGGTGTTGTATAAATGTTACAAATAAGTTTGTTTAATGATAAAATGATTACCTTATAAAGAACTTACAATATTATTTTTTCGTATATTGTCCTCTTACTGAAGATATTCATAAAATGTACAGACGCTTCTTGTAGCGAAGCCATTGATTAGGTCAAGCCATTTTGGCAATGCCAATTCTCACGATAAACGAGATTTAGCCAGTGACGTCAGTCTATTTGTAAACAAATAACACGTGGAACTGACGGAGCAACATTACGGAAGCGTATTGATAAATTCCATTTGTGCGGGAATTTATTAGATCTAGTCATTTATTATCATTATCCCGATTAATCTCGTCATTTATAGTAAATAGAGCGGAAATATTCATGAAGAAGGCCGAGGTAATCAAGTGGTCATGTGTTGTCAAAGTTCAAAAATTTGCATATCTCGTTTGGATCTCGTGAACTCAAAACGTCCTTGACATTGATTTCGCGATGTACTTATGAACACATCCTGAACTTTTGGTGAGTCTGAACATTTCATTATTTTATATCAACTTGTACCCGCCTTATACAAATATTTTTGCTTCTAGTTTAAGATGAACATCTTTTCAACATATTCACCAATTTTCAAGGTGAACATTCTTGTAATAAACGAGATATTTATGTGCACAAAATATCGCCGAGATTTCCATGCCAGGGGTATCAATCATAACAGACCGAATATCATATTCGGTCTGTTGGATACATACTAGGAATAACCCCAGGGTTCAGAGATGAAATACATCTATAATGTAAAAGCGTATTGAGATGATATTATCAATGATTGGTCAAATCGACAGACAAATGATGTCATACAATAGCAGTTTCAAAATTTTCGAAAAATGCTTCGAATAATATCATAACATAAGGTGAAAATTCGAACAAACGAAGGCGGTAAGCAAAATATCTCATCTTCTAAGCTCTGGGGTCTTGCCTCCTCTAACCCAGACCCCCGGGCCTAGACTATATCCTCTAGTCTGATATTTTTTTTGAAATTTGGTTGAAAATATTCTCAGGATATTCGGTGTATTGGAAATAGACTACCCCCGGGCCCAGACCTGGTCCATGGCTACAGTGGGGATCATAAAGAATTGCAAAAGCTATGAAAATTACATGCTGTCGCACATGTAATAAATTCTTACCTCAGTGTATTCAGTGCTCTATTTTCTCCGTCTGAGTAAGTCCAAATATAGTGGAATTTGTGTCCCTAATGACAAATAAGAACTTCAAAAGTTGAAGTGGATATTCACATGTTATGCCGCCTCTTCAAATGTTGAGGTGATTTTGTTGCCCGATTGCGCCGGAATGGAGGATTGGCTCCCAGAATGCAACATGACACGTGCCAGCTTTCAAAATGCTGTTCCGCCATTTTGAAACCTGTCATGAGTAAATACGGTAACTGATGTTGCATTCTGGGAGTCAACCTTCCTTGGATGACAAACATGGCGATTCATGAAAACATTCATTCGATTTGGTAGGGATTTATCCATTATTTGCAGGTATGAAGCTTTGTATTCATTTATTGTGCTACTTTAGTGAATGGGAATTATTTTTCTACCGCTTGGGAGAGTTTGAGACACGAAACTTGGAAATTAGCTCATTGTGACAACTTGTGAATGTTGCGTTTTGTTTTTGTCCCCCACTGTAGAATTATTCTAGACTACTCATGCAGAGTAATCACTCAATTTGATATGATATTTTTCCATTTCAATAGACACCACATCTAGATTGATAGATCTCCAATCTATGAATCGAATGAATGACAAATCATTTTCATTTTGAGTTGATTGATTTCTCAATCAAAACAAGACTAATTTGACAAAACTACAGTAGGGAATTCAAAATCAAATATAGACGAGATTCAGATATATTCTGTTTGATGATACATGTGGTAAATAAAGTGATTGTATTTGTTTAACTTTCAGTAACATACCTTTGCTTTTGATTATAACTTTTGGAAAAAAATATTTTTTTCCGATCTCGTTTGAAGTCTCGTCAATTTAGAGAGTATGTGTTTGCACCAAAAATATGAACGCCTAGAAATTTGGATAGCATACACCTGGGAAGGCTAATGATAGTCGCGTCCTGTGAAGTTCATATGCCTTAACCCGGGGCCTAAACATGAACTCACCTTTAAGATTAACACATTTAGAAATCGTCATCTATAAACACAACTTTCAAATGCGATAGCCTACCATCGACATACTGTGGTTACCCTACAGGGTGTCTCAAAAAAGGAAACCGAGAATAAATCAGTGCTAATTTCTGAAAAGATGAATAATGTTAGGGACTATTTGCAGGTACTGTAATTTGCGTCATTATATCCCCTTTCATATGGTATCAAGATGATTATTTTCCTCCACGGATGACTGAGCAATAGCCAAATCACAATCATAACATAGTGATAAGTAACAAAAAAACATCAGGATATTACTCTTTTATTCCAATTAAAGTTACACAAATCTTATTTAACACCCCTTTTCAATCCCAATGTCCATTCATAGTTGTTTTGACCCCAGTGTCCTTCAACATGACCCCCATTCCTTTCAAGGCAGATGTGTGCCCTAGATCTCATCGCACGTATTGCATCCCTGATGATGGCTCTCTGTCCTCTTAGATCCTCCATTGCTGCAACAATCCTGCCCCTTAGATTATTAATGCCTCTTGGTAATGTTGTGCAGACTTTATCCTTGAGATAACCCCAAAGGAAGAAGTCACAGGGTGAAAACCATCCTGGCATAGCCATTTTAATCCCCCATTGTTCAATCATTCATGAAATAAAAAGTGGCACAAACCCTTTTCTGACATGGTCACTTAAATCTCTAAGAACCCAGTCATCCGTGAAAGAAAAAAGACAACTCTGATATCATAAGAAAGATGACATCATAACCTGTCAGATTGTAGCTGTGAAAATATTCTATTATTATTCATATTTGAGAAATAAGCCCGGTGTAAAAGAAATTATGTTCCCCTGGGGATTATGGTCCCCTTTCCTTATGGCCCTTACTGGCCCTGACTGTGTATAAATGATAAGGAAAATAATTGTAATTAGGTCACCATATAAATCAATAGAGAGTAGGACCAAAATTTGATAGGACCACCTACCCTTTTACACCGGTTCCCTTTTTTGAGACACCCTGTGTAATCCCAATTTGAAGAATCTCAATTTTCTTTACTAACAAAGTAATTGTTACAAATTCACAACATTTACATATAATATTGTGACTAGGGTCGTACAAAATGTTTTGTGCCAATTAAAATTATTCAGTGCAAAACGCTTTTTGAACGAACCTAATAATATCAGGTTCAAAATATAGATATTTGACATTTTCACTGAATTTGACTATAACAACATTACCACCTCAAAGTATACTTCTACAATACCACTGTTTATATAATTACAGAATGTGGGGGAGACGAAACATGACATGAGTTTTTTGTAAAGTACATAGTTAAAAAATTGAAATAATGTATATATTCGTAAGCGAATAGCTTGTACTTGAAATATAGTACTACAAATAAAGTAGATCTAAATGAATTCCTTCATTGGCATACATTTTTTTATCAATCAGTTTTATTATCCGTGTCAGTTTTTTTACTGACACTGTTTGCTCTCCTCTTTGAAATAATTTGGTACCACCTCGTTTTCAAGAGTAGAAACCATGTAGCGCTTAATGATATTTAATCAACATATTGATTGGAGGAATTTTGGCAACTTTCGGGCAGTCTTCATTATCTCAAATTTTATTAATGTAAAACAATGTAATTTAAATACCTATATCTGGTATATCACGCTGGTCCATATTATATATTTTTCGTTACAGTGAGCACATCTTATATAACTATCTATGTAATGATCATAACGGTTTAATGATTATCACGCAAAATAATAAATTAAAAACTGGAAAGGGATGCTGTTACGTTTTGAAGTGCTCGAGGGCAGTTTCGAGTACATCGATTTACAAGTTAGTACATGGATTCAAACTGACAGCACTTTCACAACAGTTTTATTAGCAGTTGTGACACAGAGTGAAATACTGAAAATTCATTGAACATAAATATTATTTGGGAATATGTCTCGATCTGGGGCATATAGCTTTAGAAAACTTGACAGTGACGAACTAAGCAGCGAAATATACCGATATGAGCATAATCCAGGCCCGATTCAAAACCGTAACTGCAGTACAAGTAGCGAATATGTCTTCTACAGCGAGAAGAACGGAGATGACGCCAATAGGTTGGGGGAACTCAGGGGGACCGTCATGTATGATTTGTTACGATCATTGGCTGAAGCACAGGTAGGTGTGTTCTGAAAATAAATTGTCTATATCTGTTCATTTTTAACCATATAATCTTTTTTGCCCTTCTACATAATTAATATTGATGTGGGGGGGGGTATATTTTACAAGTGTACAATGTTATTTTCAGTAGTATTTTTTGTAGCTGATGGATCTATTTGTGACGACATGTCGCAAATACTTGCCATTTATTTTACCAAAATAATTCGGAGTGAAAGCCGATGTATAAACGAATCCAAAATATTATTGAGCATGTATGATGTAATGAAAAACATAAAATAGTCTTGATTTGTTCCGTTCAAAGTGTAGTCATGTCGTATTTTAGTTATTTACACCAACTCAACAAAGGCCATGCTCCGACAAAGTCAATAAAAGTTATATATTAATTCCTGTGTCTAATAAGAGTAGAAATCCTGTAAAACAATAAGGGTGTAAATAAACATAGTTTAAGACTATAAAACTGAATAATGAATAAAAGTGTAAAGATATGACACTTTAATATGATACAAATTTATCTATTCAAATTTTACCAAGAATGTAAATATCGTTGGTAGAAACTGAAATAAAAAGGCCGGCAATACCAATATTTTCTGTCCTTTTTTAGATCAAACTCCCAGCGAATAAAACATCCTGAACTTTTTTCTAATATTCAAAATACAATTCAGAAAATGCAATCCAGTTAAGAACAGCGCAATAACTAATATTTCAAAATTCTAAATTATAGGCAAATATATAAAATACAAAAATATGCAGTCGATTAGAAATACATTTGGTAATGTTGCGCTATGTATTAAAGGTGATCTTTTAAGTGCGAGTTCCCAGCTAACTCGACTTTTGTGGTTAAGCTATTAACTTAAATGACTCAGAAATTCTTGCAGTAAAAACTGTGATAAAAGTAAACTCCTGGTTTTAACGTCTTCAGACAGACCTCAACTACAGAGCAGAACACTTCTATAAACAACAAAAATCTTGACTTAATACAATTAATAAGCAGTTAAGTTAAAGTAATCGTAAACATTCAAAATAATGAAATTAACAAGAGAGCAAATGGAAGAACTTGGAATGCGTCCGGAAAATAATCAAAACGACATGGAAGAAAACTGGAACTTAAATAATGAAAATAATAAAACCAATGGTATTTCATCAAGAATGAATGTAAGTATTAAATTTTCATAAAAATGAAGGATGATACTGATTTCCAGTTTAAATACAAAAACCAAGAAAGTATTGACTTAACAGTTGTTTAACATTCTTCATCATTAAATACGCATGACAACATTATGCAATACTTCAAATTTCAAATTATCTCATCCAAAAACGTCTTTTAGATCATTTGATCATTTTGAATGGGAATTTTATTCTATCAGATAAAAACAAATTATTTGATTGATCGTGGTCTAATTCCAAGTCCCCGTGACTGAGGTGTCTCCGCATCATTTCGTTTCTTGAAGTGGTTAACGTTAAATAGATATGGAGGGGATTCGTAGACTTGACGCAAGACGGATTTTGTCACTGTCGTCGTTTTTGATTTGTTACACATTGTTTTTATTGCAACGTAAATTAACATTCCTTGAACTTATAACTTCACAATTGAACTCATTTACGTTTAATTTGAATTCCTCAAAACACGAAACTCCACTTAAAATACCCGAGGCCTGTTAGATGTTACTTAATATGTGTCGCAAGGGTCCTATAGTTGTTGAGAGTCTGGAACATAATTGTGAAGTGTTAGCCACTTGTCGACGGAGTTACACAGATATGTTATGTCTTATATCTATAAATAGGCGTTGATTAGTCATAAATATGTCAATGGGATTGTAAAACAAAATGGGATCTCCTCCGGGAGACAGAAATTGTGGAGACTGGAATTGGGGGGATAATATGATATAACTCTTTTCTTGGGTTACATTCTTGGTTTTAAAAGAGCGCAACAAAAGTGTGAACTTGTCTTTCCTAATTAGAGAGTAGTAATCACTACTGATACGGCCAGGACTATAGGATAAAGGTTGGCACTTACCCTTTTAAATAATTCATTTCACTTCCTTTATAGCGCACTTTATATCTCTTTTTCTTATCCTAAATACAAATTGGTTTCGCTTCCTAAAACAGCACCTCATAGACAGTAATTAGTACTCGCCTCTAGATATCGGGTCTCTTGATATTGAACAGAACGACAGTCACAGAATTTCACATTTATTAGTCTTATTAAGAGGATAGTTACTTTTACTACATGGACCTCTACGCCCGAAGATAGAGCCCCATGCTATCCTAGGCCATGAGTATCAGGGTAAACCATCGCCCACATTCTGATTTATCAGAGTCCCTCTTTACCTAACGTTTGAACTATTCCAAAAGGATAGTAAAGGCTGTGGATCCCACAATGCATCGCCCATAATTACCCTGCGCGCAGAGTCTACTTATAAACTACGAGTCGACGAAGCTCTCTTTTAAGAAGAGTAGACGAACCAAAGAGCGCAAATTGTCAAAAATCTATTTTGACACACATCCAGTGTTGGAATTAATAAACTCTGACCTGACAGTGGTAATTAATGTCTTAGGGACGATTTAGTCAGAAGGTGAACTATTTTTTACTCAACGTGGAGGCGTTTAACATCCCAGTCGGAAATAACATTAACATGCTTCTGTATTTTATCAACATTTGGAGAACAAGATTTTAGTGGGTTTATAAGGACAACTGTTCTGTGTTTCATCTCTTAGGAGTTAGATATAGACGTCAGATTTACTCGTTGTTTTGATTGTGCTAGAGATAATACAACTAGGAATTAATTGTTTTGAAAGTTCAGTGATAGAAACTCATGACCTTACCAGGTGAATGTAGACCTTATTTATTTTTAGATTTTTGCAACAACTTAAAATCCATTTGGGAGGTAGAGATGGTAGCCTGGATTGAAAAATATAATTCCATAAAAATGTTATCCCGCCACAAAATATCGAATTCTGATCTCAATTGAAATTGAGACCACAATGAAATTAACCTTACTAATGTACTAATGGCGTTTACTTATACTGTACAAATAGACCTAACTAACTAAATGTGTTTTGAATTATATCATGATTTGTCATGCTCCAACGCATCAACACCGAATCTCCCTCATTGATCTCGTGTCTGACATCTGTTTGTGGTTTGAAGTCATGACATTCAGTTGTGATGTTTACATCCCTTGCAGAAGTGCGGTTAACCGACTTATAAGTCCCAACAGACGCATGGGTTTATTAAAAAACATATATATGCACTCGCTTTTCGTACATTCTACTTCTTGGTGATCATCATTGATCATCACAACTTTCGTCAGTAATTTATGATTTTTTACGTGAAGTTAAATGTTCGCGATTTCTTTGAAAATATTCCTGAATTCAATGAGAGGATTATATACTAGATTATGGTACTCCTTTGGGGTCACGAATTTCGGCCAATAATTGGTTAATACCGACTTTAGGTTTTGAAATATTGCAATTTCATTTCTGACTTTTTTAGTCAACTCGATGTGACGAGCGAACGATTGGATTGAATATATAGAGATTATCCTATATGAGGTTCAGGATATTGGGATTATCCCGAGGCCAATATAATATATCTGCCCGAGGGCCGTAGGTCCCGAGGGTAGATATATTATATTGGCCAAGGGATAATGCCAATATCCTGAACCGACTATAGGATGATCTGTTTATCCCATACCGATCTTGGTCATCTGGTTCACATTGTTCAATTGGCCACAGCTCAGAAAATTTCCATTAAACCGTGGATATAAGTTTTCACAAACCAGCTTTATGTACCTATAACACATCCAAGTATGGGATAAAGGGGTATACGTTATTAATGGGAAGTTGATTAAAAAAGAGGAATACATCTTTCCGGGGGGGGGTCGTTTTAAAAAATAACGCAACCTATCAAAAAGCACAATATATTTTACAGCTTTCCAGTAGAGTACCTTGGAATGTGGACAAGCTCTTTAAGAGAATTACACTATTCGAAATGGCACCAAACTGTGTATTTTGTAATTGGGCGTTTGCTACCACGCCTTAACAATGTTAAAATACAGCATGATTGTTCAGTCGTTGAGAAACAGTTTCAGCTTAAAATGTTTATCTGAAAATGTCAACGCAATTTCAAAATGCTACAGACATGGTACTTAAGCGTGATGTAACAATCCTAACTGGTGCATGATGAAATAATCGTAGATTGGAATAAGTACTAGAAAATCATCCTTCATGATCATGCATCACTGTCTCAGTACGTAGGGAACTGAGTAATGATGGTAATGTTGAAAACTAAAGACAATTTGCATCACTGATTGTGAAATGTCGAAAAATTATGGCAAATGTAGTGAAACAGGCTTCGATGGTGTGACGTCCCAGGTTGGTGTGGGCAAACTTTTGGAGGGGAGTGTACCAACAACACAAGCATGAGGTAATATAAATAAGGTGTATTTTATGGGGCATTTTATGAAGATGACCTCCTACATTCACCCGTATCCCTGCCTGGAATTCATGACTGGTATGTTTCAACAAGTAGTTGAACACAACAGATGTCAAACAGCATTTACCAGATTACGTAGAAAACTCCCTACCATAGCAACCATAATGTTGTTGACAGGTCTACCTATATCCCCACTTCTCTCGTCTGCCATGAGCCAATTGAGGAAATTATTCAGGTCACCAACTTATCTGTGTTTAGTTGTTTGCTTTAAGTTGATTGACTGGCACTTAATTTAAACTATTTCCAAAGATTACTCCTCCTTATCGTCTTTGTATTGCTCTATAAACAGCCTTGTCATTATCATCCTAATATTACATCATTAGATCTAGCACAACCATTCGCATGAGACACAACCAGTGGCCATATCCATTTTGACATAACCTGCACAACCTCTCTACTCGAACACAAAACGGAATCCCAGCACAACCCGGGAATTTAATATCACAACCGGGTCGCACGACCCCATCCACTCCGACAAAAGTGTTCCTAGACAACAATGAAC